CTCTATTCCTTTTTTAAAAAAATAATTCATTTATTGATTCTTTGGGAATCTGACATCATGCACCCTAATTCTGCTCATCTCCCAGTCCCTCCATATCCTCTTTCACCCCTCACCCTTGCAGCACTTGCAAAACAAATTATTTTTAAAAATCAAACCAAAACAAAACAAAGCAAGCAAACAAAGAAAAATAACAACAAAACAAAACAAAACAAAAAACCCTTTATTTCTTCTTCTTTCCCAACTCCCCAACACCTCTTCATTCATCCTGGTGGAACTGGGAGCAGTGTGTCACATAGTTTATGGTTTTGTCAAATCAGCTTTGCTAACAATGTTCGTTGCAATGAGTCCCTGGTCTGGTTCAAAGCCTCTGGTTTCTGATACACCATCATCACTGTACCCCATCTAGGACGTGATTGAGCTTCTGAAGGGGCTGGTCCTGTGGAACAATAGCTGGAGGATCTCTGTGACTCAGGGCAGCTGTGGGAATTCAGTTGTGTCGGTCTGGGTGTCAGCCCAGCTGGTCAATCTGAGACGCTGGGGCAACAAACCTCAGATGAGGTAGTGGAGCCAATACCATCAGGGTCAGTTCTCTTTCAACTGTGGTAAGGGGTGGGACCATCTCTCACAAGTGCAGGGGCCAGTTCTTGAGTGAGGATCAGGGTCAATTCTATTACTGCAGTGTCCAACAAGGCAGGGCTATCATTCCCAGGGGCAATGAAGGGCAGGCCAGCTAAGCATGGCCCCCTGGTTCATTACACATGGTTCCTATGTCCCCCTGAGGTGACACAGGTCACAGACATTAACACAGACCCCAGCTGAAGCTAGACCACAGACACAGAAATGGCCCTCAGCGGCAGCTCAGCCCCAGCAACATTCTGACTCCAAGTAGATGCACTAACAACTCAGATCAGGATGGCTCTGCTGATGGTATGGCTCCTGAATACCAAGAAGGCCACAGGTTACAGTCCCAACCTCGGGCTTCTGTATGACCTTTGGTGGCAACACGGGCCTCAGACTTCAACACAGTCCCCAGCTGCAGTAGGACCACAGACCCAGACAAGGTTCTCAGCAACAGCCAAGTCTGAATGTTACTATTGTGGCAGTGAAGTCCACTCAGATTGGCACCTCTCTAGAGGCAGCAGGGCCCTCAGATACCAATCATAGATGCCAGGCATCCACATAGAATTTGATGGTAATAGGAGCCTCAGACATCAACACAAACCGTTGCTGCAGTAGAACCACAGACCAAGACATGGTCCTCAGCTTCAGTCCTGGCCCAGATGTCACCGTGGTGTTGAGTAGCAGTGCAGGCCACTCAGATCTGTAAGACACTGGCTGCAGTGTGGCTCTCAGACACCAACATGAACTCAGATGACTGATCTGATGCTGGGCATCCACAAGGCCTTTGGTGGCAGCAGGAGTCACAGATGTCAACCCAGATCCTGTCCACTATAGGGCCATGGCTTTCCTCTATTCCTATTCTTCTTAGGTTTGGTATTTTCATAGTGTCCCAGATTTCCTTGATAATCTCTGCCAGGAGTTTTTTAGATTTTACATTGTCTTACGCCGAAACATCCATTTTTCTGTCCTGCTTCAATGTCTTTTCTCCTTTCTCTTCTATTCTATTGTTGAAGCCTGCCTCTGAGATTCCTGTTTGAGCTCCTAAATTATACTTTCCTAAATTCCCCTAAGTTTTATATTTTATTACTGACTCATCTTCCACTTTCAGGTCTTGAACTCTTTTATTGATTCCCTTCTACTCTTTTTGTTTTTATATTCTTTAAGGGATATATTCAATTCCCTCTTAAAGACCTCTACCATATTCATAAAGACTGCTCTAAGGACTTTTTCTTGTTATTCAACTATGGTGAATATTCAGGATCTGAATATTTGAATAGTGTGGTTGCTGGATTCTAGTAGAGATATATTGTTCTATCTGTTATTGATTGTGTTTTTATGCTGTCAAATTATCTAGGTTTAAGATGATTGTAATTCTAGGGGATGATATCTGATCTTGTCTTTGTTGGGTAGGTGTTTCTTTCCTTGCTATCTGTTTCTCTCACTGGTTCTTAGGAGAAACAGTAGCTTTCTTATTGTCTGGTGGGGAATTCTCCTGGGATATTTTCAGGTGTGGCCACTGGAAGTTCTAGGTAAAATGTGTTTCTCGGTATTGGAAATTGACACTGGAATGTGGATGAGCTGTGGTAGTCAAGAGACTCAAAGGGTCTACAACAGGGAGAAAAACATGGTGTTCCACCAGGATTGGCTTAGTTCCCTGGGAATGGGTCCAGAGTTTGAGGTACAACAAGTAGTCTGTTACAGAACTATGAATGAGACTGGATCATTAATTTGAAGGAAAAGAAGAATAGTGAAGTTCTGAAGCTTGCCCACCTGCTTCAATAGCCTACTTAATTCTCTGTCAGGATTGGTTGATGGGTTTCCAGAGAATGCCTGCTTGAGTTGGGGCCTGTGATAACACGATGAATGGGGAAGAAAATTGGGAGAGAAAATTTGTGTGATCCACTGAACATAGAGGCAGAGAGGAGTGGAAGGCACAGCTGGTGCTCTACTACAGAGCAGGGGATCAGACTAGGAGACTAGATTTGAAGGAGAAGAGGGGGAGATAAAGATCTGCAATTAGCCTTCCTGCTTTCCTGGTTGGGACACAAGGCAATTATCATTAAAGAAATAATTTAATTGGACACTGGCTTACAGTTTCAGAGGGTTAGCCCGCAATCATCATGGCAGGGAGTGTAGTAGTAGACGGGCATGGTGCCAGAGAAGTAGCTGAGATCTCACATCTGATCCATAAGTTTCAGGCAGAAAAACAATGGGCCTGGCATGGGTCTTTGAAGCCCCAAATACAACCCCCACTGACACACCTCCTCCAACAAGGCCCACCTGCTAATCCTTTCCAAACAGTTCTACTAACTGATTATTAACACTGAAGCCCATACAGGTCATTTTCATTTAAATCATCACCCAGGAAACGGCTGGAAATGTACTTTCTTTGTTCCTCAGTCCCTTCCCAGGAAGAATGACAACAGTCTGGTCCTCTTAGAGCCTCTCTATGAACTCTCCTTCATCCTTGTAGCCTATACCTCCACACATGATTGTGGCATCATCATCATGTCCTGACACCTTCCCAACCATGAGAATAAGTCATAGAAGATGCAGATTGATGCCACAGAAAGGATACAGAGCAGCAGAGATACACTGAGCATTTCATTGTGCTGCTCACATGGAAACACTTCTGTCAGTTGCTTTACACTGCATCTTTAAAGGTTGTGCCAAGTGCTTTCTCTCCCAAATCTTAGCAAAACAGTTATATTTCATTCCATCATTCATGCAGTCATCACTTCCTGTTGAGCCATCACCATGTGAGCTTTGTTAACTGGCATTGCTAATCTGAAATTTTCTTTCCTAGACTCACACATCTCACACTGATGAAGACAGACAAGATAATGGATAATTTAGCTTTAGTTTTCTACATCACAGTATATAGGAGACAGGGGGAGGTAAGTCTCAATGTCAAGTCAATATTAAATTGGCTAATGATGAGACCACATTGGATAAAGGAGTGTCCCCAAGCCTGAGCAGATATCAGGACAGACTTGAGGGGTAGTTACTCAGCAAGGTAAAGTATCAGCTGAACCAAGAAATAAAATCAAATCAGCATCCTCTGGATCCATCTCACAGACTGACTCACATATTCTGGGGATTTACCTTTAAACCCATGGGAAATGTTCATTAAAAAAATCATGTGAATATATTGGTCTTCTTTTTGTTATGTTTTATTTTTGAAACTAGTTTTCATTCAGTCCATACTGGCTTCAAATTGTTGTACATTTCAGATGACCTTAACATTCTTAATTTTCCTTCTTCACCTCCAGAGGGCTGGATTATGTAAATAATTCACAGTGACGTAATTCCAGCAATAATGTCAAGCCAAATGATATATGCAGCATTGTTCGAAGTGATATTCATGGATGTCCTAATATATATCTTAATTCGTAAGTATGCTTAGAGTTGAGTGGGTCAAAACAGGGCTGTGTTTCTTTACTTTCCACAATGAAGAATTTGCAAAGGTGTCCTATGCTGTCATTGTCTTAGTGAGAAGACAAAAAGAATGTATCAAATTCCTATGCAGCTGTAGTTAAAGACAGTGGTTAGCAACATAACGTGGGTGCTAGGAACCCAACTCAAGTCCTCTTGAAAAGCAACAAGTGCACTTAACCACTAGAACACCATACCAGCCTACCAACAGACATTTTTTAATTCAATTTAATTTTTTGTACTGCACATATGTGTGTTTTTCTATGAACCACATATGTGCCTCATGTCTATTGAGACAAGAGGAGGGAACCACATCAATGGAACTGGGGTTACAGAAAGGTTTAAGCTGCCTTTAATGTCCTGAGGATCAAACCCCATATTCTCTTGGAAAGCAGCCAGTATTCTTAAAAAGTTAGCCATCTCTCAAGCCCCTTAATAATTATTATAGAGGTAAATTAATTGAGTCATAAACCCAAAAGTCAGAGAGGGTATAAATGGATTTAAAGACTCAGATAAAAGAGATGAGAGACTCTCTTTACCCTGAACAATAAACCAAGCAGAAAGGGATCCTGTAGTGGAGGCTGCTTGTTGGTTCCCGGCCACCCACCTAGCTTTGACCTGAAATAATCACACAGAAACTATATCAATTAAATCACTGCTTGACCCATTAGCTCTATCTTTATATTGGCTAACTCTTACCTATGAATTTAACCCATTTCTATTCATCTGAATATCACCACATGGCTGTGGCTTAACAGGTAAAGTTCCCAGTGTCTATCTTGGGCACCTTCATGGCTTCTCTCTGACTCCACCCTTCTTTCTCCCAGCATACAGCCTAGCTTTTCCTGCTTAGTTCTGTTCTGCCCTTGCCATAGGCTCAAAGCAGTGCTTTATTCATTAGCCAAAAAAGCAACACATAGACAGAAGGGCCTCCCACACCAAGATCACAAAAGATATTTTATTCAAGTAAAACCAAGCAGAATCAGGAATGTTGATACTGATAACATTTAAAACACTTTTAAATCGAAGCTATGGAAAGATAAAATTCATAATATCACAATAAAAGCCACCAAGTCATCACGGGAGTTACAATTGCTACAACTGGTGATGGTAGTTTCAGAGTATATTTCAACATGAGAGTTAAGTTCTTTTTTTTTTCCTTTATGAAAATACGTTTACTGAGTTGTTTCTATTTAGTGATATACCTTGCAATATGGCTTTTCTAAAGGTTGCTGCTTGGCTTGTAGTGAAAGTTCCATGGTGAGTTTTGTCTTATTGGGTATGGAGTGCTGTGCTGTAACTGTGCTGCCTCTGCTGACCTTGTAGGGGAAATGATTCTTTTTCGTCTCTCCCATGTGGCAGACACCTGTCCTAAGATGTGATCTATTAAAAACATTCACTATAGAGGCTATTTTGACATCTGCCATATTGCAGTACATTATAATGATCTGGCAAAACATCATTATTCATAAATGTGAAGCAGCTTCACATATTGGCCCCAGCTATCGAGATAAATGTATTAATGGACAATCAGCAGCACCAGTCATGGGTTTCCCATTGTATCAGACACTGCTCAAAGTTATATTTAAAGTTTTTAAATTGTTTTTATTGGTATATATATTTTTCTCTGCTCCACTTCCTTCCTCTCCCCTCCCCTTCTACCCTCTCCCATGTTCCCTTTACTACCAATTTAGAGAGTTAAGTTCTTGATTTCCTTCAGGTATAAGAGGACAAACCAAAATGCTGAGCAAAAATGGGTGAGTTGATGCCTAAACTCATCCACACTAACAGATAGGTTTTCCATTTTGAGGTGGCATTTTTTTTTCTTTTTTAAAGACAGAGCCTCTCTGTGTAGTCCTGGTTGTCCTAAAACTCACTATTTGGATCTGGATAGCCTTGAATACACAGAGATCTGCCTAATTCTGACTCTCGTGTGCTAGGATTAAAGATGTTTGCCTCCATGCTTGTCAGAAGGGTTTTATTTTAACAGATGTGGTCCCCCATGGAGAAGACCATTTCTCCCACTCTCACCTTCTTTGCCTGTAGTTCTTTGCAAAATATATGTTGTTTTTCTTTTTTTTAATTTAATTTATTTTTTATTTTACATCCTGGTTGCAGTTTCCCCTCCCTCCTCTCCTGCCTTTCCCTCCTTCTATTTCTCCTCTACCCCTCCAATCCACTCCTCCTCTGTTTCTGTTGAAAAAGGGGTTAGCCTCTAATAGTTATCAACAAAGCATGACATATCAAGTTGCCCTAAGACTAAGCTCCTTTTTTTGTATTTAGACTGGGAAAGGCAATCCACTGTGGGGAATAGGTTGGGGACAGCCCCTGTTCCCATTGTTAGCAGTACCACAAATAGACCAAGCTACACAACTGTCACATACATGTGAAGGACTTAGTTTGATCCCAAGCAGGCTCCCTGTGACTGCCAGGCTGATTGTTTCTCTGGGTTTTCTTATGATGCACTTGACTCCTTTGACTCCTATATTTCTTCCTCCCTCTTTTCAGCTGGATTTTCTGTGCTTGGCATAATGTTTGGTTGTGAGTCCCTGCAACTGTTTCCATCATTTATTGGATGAAGGCTGTCTGACAAAATAACTATGGTATTCATCAATCTGATCACCGGGGATAGCCAGTTCTAGCATCCTCTCTACTATTTCTGGGATCATCCTTGTAGATTCCTGGGAGTCTGTCTTGCATCAAGCTTCTACCTGAACCTGAAAATTCCTCATTTCCAAACATCTCTTTCACTACTCTTCCTTTTCAACTACCCACAGCCTGATACCTCAAGTTCCCATCCCCACCTGCCTTTAATCTGCCCAGGAAACCTCCTCTTTTTCCTTTTCCCAGGGAGATTCACACATCCACCTTGGGCCTTCCCTGTTACCTAATCTCTCTGAGTCTGTAATTTGTAGCAAGGTTATCCTTTACATTACAGTTACTATCCACTTATGAGTGAGTACATACCATGTTTATGTTTATGAGTCTGGTTTTTCTCACTCAGGATGATATTTTTCTAGTTTTATCAATTTGCCTTAAAATTTTCTGGTGTCATTGTTTTAAGAGATGGGTAATCCTCCATCATGTAAATGTACCACATTTTCTTTATTCACTCATATTTTGAGAGACATCTAGATTGTTTCTAGGTTCTGGGTATTAGAAATAAAGCTTCTATGAACATATTTGAGTCAGTGTCCTTGTGGTGTGATTGAGCATCCTTTGGGTATACGTCCAAGAATGATATAGCTATATCCTGAAGTAGATTTATTCCCAATTATTCTGAGAAACTGCCACATTGATTTCCAAAGTGGTTGTACAAGTTTGCACTCCCACCAGCAATAGAGGAATCAAACCCACAGTTTTTAAATAGCAAAATCTATATATAACATGAAACTCACTTTATCTTTAAGGACCAACATAGGCAAGAAGTTAATGGATGGAAAAAGAGCTAAAGGGCAAGAAAGATCCAGGAAAAAGATGCAAGAGGTGCCTGACTATGAAACCATATTTAATTAAATCATCAATACAAATGCCTGACTCTAAATAAAGAATAGCAATTGTCATAAGAATTGGAGACTAGTTTTTGACAACAGTCTAGATCCATGGAGCTCATAGGCCAATATGGTTTTCTTGGACACAAAGACGAAACTCAGTCCCCTTGGTTGTGTGCTCCTGGGTTCTGAAACTATCCATAGACTTTTATTGGTTGTACAAAGCTTCTCCAATGATTGCCCCCAGGACAAGAAAGACTACGCCAGCCAGGGCCATGCGGACACCATTCCACACCTTGTAACTCTGGAGGGTAGGGACTGAAAAGGAAAAGACAAGAGTGAGTAGTCATTCTCTGGTAAATGGTACCCAGCCTAGGAACCCTGAAACAGTAGTTATTGATGCATTTTGGGGTTAGAAGTCATCATTACAGATGTCCCTTACCTGTGGGAGAACTGATTCTAAAAGAAAGCAGTCAATTTAACAGTGTCTACCAGGACTCAGAAGAAAGGGATGAAGGAGTGTGAAGCTTCTTCTTTCATTTGGGCTGATCTTAACAAACTTGCCCTCCATGCTTCCCACTTCTTTAACAAAAGATAGAGGTCATGACCTTCAAATATCCCTATTATGAGCTGGGTCTCCATTGTCTGAAGACGCAAATGTACTGAGACTCTACTGGGCATGTGCTGATGGGAAGAGCTTTTGAACTGCCCAGTTTAAAAACACCAAGATGGATCTGATGCAATGTCTTCTTCTCTTTTACAACCATGCTGCACCTCCTGTGGTCCATTTATGGCACAGAACAAGAGCTCAGTGTATACAGTGGGGTAACCGTATAGTCTCACCCCAAACCACTTTTTCACCCATCAATTCCTCCTTTTTCTTTTCTGAGAGACTTCTCTCCTTGCCTCCTTACCTCCCTCTTTTTCTAACCTCCCTTTCTCCATCCCTCTATCAGTCCCTCCCTACTTCTCTCAAAGAAGGAAATTGTTCTCCTTATATACAATTTCTGTCCTGCCTTCCAGAAGCCTTCCTACTTGCACTGGCAGAATCAGTCTTCCTCATCAACTTAGATCATGTAGCCCCCAAAAAGGAGAGGAGAAGAGGAGGAGTGGAGAGGGGAGGAGAACTTGAGGGAATGGGATAGTCAAGATGGGGGAAGAACAGAGACAGCAAGAAGAGAGATATTTGGATTGAGGGACCCAATATGGGGTTAACAAGAAACTTGGCACAGAGAAATTCCCAGGAATCAGCACAAGGATGACCCCAGTTAAGACCCTAAGCAATAGTGGAGAAGATGCCCAAGCTAGCCTTGCCCTGTAGTCAGATTGATGACTATCTTAAATATCACCATAACTGATGAGGTAGAAGCAGAGGCAGAGATCCACATCAGAGCACTGGGCTGGGCTCCCAAAGTCCAGTTCAAGTGGGGGACTGGAGTGAGAATATGAGCAAAGAGGTCAAGACCATGATTGGGATACCCACTGAGACATCCTACCAGAGCTAATGGGAGCTCACCAACTCCGGTTGGACAGGGAAGGATGGATTCTTGTAACTAGGACCAACTAGGCCCTCTAAATGTGTGTGGCAGTTGTATGGCTGAGTTGAACTCTGAGGTCATTTTCTGTGGGACCAGAATTTACTTTTTGGAACCCATTTTCTTTGAATGGATACCTTGCTCAGCCCAAATATGGCAGGGAGGGCCTTGGTCCTCACTCAAAGCAATGTCTTACACTCTCTGAGAAGTGGATGGGGGTGAAGTGGGGGAAAGGTGGAGAGAATGGAGTGAGAACTGGGATTGGTATGTAAAATGGAAAAAGATTGGTTTTGGTTTAAAAATTAAATTAAATTAAAAAAGAAATTTAAAAAAATGTAATGAAGCTCAAACCACAAGAGGGCAGCATAGACTCATGGAAAACTGAGGTCTGGGGTGTCGCTGCTGGAACTGCTTCTCTCCTGGAGTCTTCAGATCTTGGTATCCTTGACCAAGAATGTTAATTTTCTTCATATTTAAAATAGTAGGGTCGCTGGGTATGGTGAGGGTATGCCTTTAATCCCAGAACTCAGAAGAAGCTCTTTGAGTTCAAGGCCAGCCTGCTTTATGTAACAACTTTCAGGTCATTCAGGGTTATATAGAGAGATCTTATCTCAAAATAAAACAACTACGAAAATCAAAAGAAGGAAGGAAAGTGGTGCGGGAGAATTGTCTGTATTCTGTCAATCTAGTTTTAAATAAAATGCTGATTGGCCAGGCAGGAGGTATAGGTGGGAAAACTAGACAGGAAGTGGAAATGATGCAAGGAGAGCAGGAGAATTCTGGGAAGGAGGAAGCTGATTCCTCCAACTCCTGCCCAGACCACCAAAGCAGCAGGATGTGAGCTGCCCCACTGAAAAAGGAACTGAGCCACATTGCTAACATAGATCAGATCAGAAAAATGGGTTAATCAATATGTGAGAGTTAGCCAGTAAGAAGCCTGACCTAACGCACCAATCAACATTATAACTTACAGGGATCTGTGTGTGATTTTACTTTGGGACTAAATAGCTGGGGGTCCGGGCAGGACAGAAACCCTCAAACAAACAAGGCCTTTCATGTTACAGAATGGTGCCCAACATGGATAACTGCATCCACAGAAAGTCTGAGAAAGCTTGGGAAAGACTAGAGTAAAGCTTTTCGGTTTTTAGCCATGGCAGGAAAAAAGCTACGCTGTTTTAAAATGTCGGCTTTCTGGGCCATTCTGTCAGGGAAAACTCTGACTCTTTCAAGCAGGCAGTCCAGACTGTGAAAACACTGTTGCAGCTTGCTTCCTGGCAAGGACCTGAAAACACCTTAAGAGTTTTTGGCTGTTGTTTTCTCCATATTCCTTAGCAAATTAGAGACCCATGTGGTCAGAAAAAGGGAGATATACAGTAAAGAGAGATTCAAAGAGTAAGAAAACCTCTAAATGGTTTACATTGTGTTAAAAATATATACAGGCTAAATGTTAAAGTTCTCAGAGTTAAAAAAAGAAAAGAAAAGAAAGAAGGAGTAGCCTGGGAGGCAGAGACAGTCGTGGTGCGGGAGAATTATCTGTATTCTGTCAATCATATTTTAATAAAACGCTGATTGGCCAGGCAGGCAGTTTAGGCGGGAAAGCCAGACAGGAAGTAGGGGTGGAGCAAAGAGACTGGGAGTATTCTGGAAGCAGAAGCTCTCTCTCAGCCACTCCTGCGCAGACCACCGAAGAGGCAACATGTAAGCTGTCACACTGAGAAAGGTACTGAGCCCATGTGGCTAACATAGATAAGGATAATGGGGTAATATATGTTATAAGAGTTAACAAGAAGCCTGACCTAATGGGCCAATCAGTTTATAACCTTATGGAGTCCTGTGTGTAATTTCTCTTTGGGGCTTGCCGACTGTGGGGTACTGAGCGGGACAGATACCCCAACAAGGCGGCCCCCTCATGTTACACAGTCGGATCTCTGGGAGTTCAAGGATAACCTGATCTACAGAGGGAGTTCCAGGACAAAGATATGCAGAGAACCTGTCTCAAAAAGCCAAAAGTTAAAAGTGAAAATAAAAGAAATAGAGGTTAAAATAAAGCTGCATAAAGATGGAAAATGTACAGAGAATCTTGATACTGTTTGCTATTATGCTTTCTTTAAATTGTTTGAATGCTGAGGAAGAAGCAACAGCTGCAAAAGATACTTGCTTATAAATGCTGCAGAATTAATCCAAGATAGGTATTTTGAAAATACCTTGGCTTCAAAATTGAAGTCGAAAGGTATATTACTTTGGAGAAGAGATTTTGCTTTTGTTTCCACAGAAAATGAGAGGCTGTGGATTTATTCTGAGTTACGAAAAATCATCTTTGATCAAGGGAGACCACCTGAGAAATCTCCGGCAGGAACAGATGGCCCGATATCAGCGTTCTTCATCCAGAACAGGTTCAAGACTGCTGCCTGAGATGATCAAGACTCACAGGATACTTCAGTCAGAACTTGATCATAATTCTAAATTTTCTTTAGGTCCCTATAAGATTACCAGCACCCCCAACCACCTGGAAGTAGCCTGGAATACTACGCCCACATTCCCAAAAAATGGACTATGGATATTTTCCTTTGTTTTTTAAAAAAAGAGGGGGAAGTGGTGCGGGAGAATTGTCTGCATTCTGTCAATCATGTTTTAAATAAAACGCTGATTGGCCAAGCAGGAGGTATAGACAGGAAAACCAGACAGGAAGTGGAAATGATGCAAGGAGAGCAGGAGAATTCTGGGAAGGAGGAAGCTGATTCCTCCAACTCCTGCCCAGACCACCAAAGCAGCAGGATGTGAGCTGCCCCACTGTAAAAGGTACGGAGCCACATTGCTAACATAGATCAGAAAAATGGGTTAATCAATATGTGAGAGTTAGCCAGTAAGAAGCCTGACCTAACAGGCCAATCAGCATTATAACTTGCAAAGATCTGTGTGTGATTTTACTTTGGGACTAAACAGTTGGGGGGCCGGGCAGTACAGATACCCCCAAACAAACAGGGCCTTTCATGTTACAGGAAAGAAAGAAGGAAAGAAGGAAGGAAGGAAGGAAGGAAGGAAGGAAGGAAGGAAGGAAGGAAAAAAAATATTATTAATGACACCTTGATGGCTGTCTCCAAAATCAGAACATCAACCCAGCATATAACCTGTAATAAACTACAACACCAGCAGTGAGACAGGGTGAAAGACTGGGAGCTGATGAGAAGAGCTATGTAGGCTCCTTCTCCATCCTAAGTATGATATAAAATGGGTGATTGGCTCCATCACTCAGCCACAGACCATGAGAAAGACCTGAAATGACAGAACAGGGAAAATAGAAAACATGGCAGAGCCCCTCCTAAATCATCCTGTTGGATACTGGTCCTTCCTTCTATTCCTGGATCCTCACTCACTCTGCTTGGCCTCACAGAATGAGCACTGACCAGCTCCTAGGAAGATGTGGGAAGACATGGTCTTGGACTAGAACTTTCTGTACCCTGATTCCAGACATTTTGGGGCCCGGCCTCACACAGGCTATTCCATATGAAAGAACCCACAAAAGAATAATCCAGGCCTGTTCACCAACCCTCTCTGGACCACATTACTTGCCTAGTAAGATGGTAATACTCCAGAGGAGATGTATTTCTGCAGTCACCACAGGCTTGAACTCAGTGGGAAACCAGGATAAATCACCATGCTCAGAGTAAGTAAAAACATGCATCACCTTGAGAGAAATCTACTCCCACCACTGATGGAGCTTAGTCAGTAATCAATCATCAGGAGCAACTCAGTGATCTACCAGTAAGACTGTATCCAGTCATTCATGGTGTCTGCTAAGAATAAAGCTCCTGAAATCTGGGGTTTAAGGGTAGATGAGATCTGTGCTGAAGGAGGTGGTAAAAGGGAGCATTAGGATTAGGAGACAACAGGGAAAGTTGAGGCAAGGGAGAAGCTAGGATTACAGTCCAGAGACCTAGAAACAAACCTGAGGTCACTCCTGGGACTGGGTCAGACGTGTGGGGGACATCTTCATTGGTCACTTTCAGCTCCAGAGGCTCACTGCGTGGGGACCACATATAACCTTTTTGATAGAGACACTGATAAGATCCAGCAGTGTCTTCATTTACTGGGCCAAGCTGGAATATAGCCTGTTTTTTAGGAGGAAAATCATTCTTCTTATTCATTATATATGTGCTATGCTTCTCCAGGCGGAACATATCATATTCACTAGGGCTTGTGCATATAAACTTTACAGAATTTCCTTGGGGAATCACAAGGCCTGGATCAGCCAAAATGGAAGGTCTTGGCAGAGATTCTAGGAGAGAGAGAGAAAGCAGGAATCTCACTGCACACAGTGAAGACTTTGTCACAACACAAAACCAATTGAGACACACCATTTTGTACTCTTACTAAATTTAGAGTTCTCTATGATCAAAGTGAAGCTTTATAACATCCTCACTTTCTACATGCTTATGAATGCCCACCACATGACATTAAGGAACCTAAGTCTGAGCATGTGGTGGGTCTAGCAATGATTCATCCAAAGAAATCTCAGAACATCACAGACTGGACTTGTCTGTTACAGAGCCCACTGCCTCCCTAAGAACTGCCTTATTCCAGGGACCTGTGCTTTTTCTTCCTTTATCTTCACCTTCTTTCCAGGATGTTATTAGAAAATCTCACCTGCTTCAAACTGTCTGAATGTAAGGGCATCCCCATAAAAATCACAGATAATTATACTTATGTCAAGAGACAAATTTGAAACGCTCACACTTACCATGTTCAAGGTGATGTTTTGTACCTTGTGGGACAGCTGGATCAAATTAATCATTATAGATAAACTCACAAACTTACTTTTTTTGTGACGAATTTATGAACACATAGTTGCTAGCCATGCTGAATAATTGACTTCCTGCCCTTATCTATGTGTAATGACATTTTGTGCCCTTAGACAAACAGTTCCTAATCCTAACTCCTTTCTTCACTTATTCTTCATATGTTTTTAATATCTTATTCATCTTCTAGGGATGCCTTCCATGTTTCTATGGTTTCACACATACAAGAAACACAGTCTTTTCCATTTGAAAGCAAATTATGGGAGGGAAGGCTGATTTGAGAGAATGATCTGAGAAGGTGGCAGAAAAATAATGATGAATATAAGGGGTGGGCATAGGAATCTCAAGAGACAGGTGAGATCAGAGGTGTACTCCCTGAGGTGACACAGAAGAGATACTTGCACGGAAACCTGAAGAGACAGAAATAAACTCCCTGCACCTAGCAGGCAGGAACATGGAGAATCAAACATTGACCAAACTGTGTGAATTGCCACTAAGAGAACACAGACCCTGTGATTCAGGAATAGTTCAAGAGTTCAAGTAGTTCAAGTGGGATATGTGAAGGATAGTTAATACATAGCCTCATGTCCATCAGCATCACTGAGACTAAATTCAAATGCTGATTAAAAAGGGAAATATATGTGTGGGGAAAATCTCATGCTAATTGGCTTGATCTGGTCATCCTCCAATACCAATTTATTTTAAAATACAAAGACAGACATGGTAAACACATGAAATTTTTGTCATTTTAAAAATTAAATTAAAATTTATCTTGTAAGACAACCCAGAGTTAGTGGATGTTTAATGAAAATGGAAGAATGTTGAAGAACCTAGAGACAACTGAGCCTGATAGGAAGGGGGATCAGGATGTAACTGGGGTAAGTCAGAGTCACCAGCTCTGAAAAACACTGTGGTCTGATTCAGTGTCAAAATAAACTATGGAGCCCAAGCCACATGCCACCCACAGACACAGACTGACTTGCTCATTTAGTATTCTAGCCTCTGACTAGTAAATATGGCTCTCAACCCTCATCAAAGAAGTTAGCAGACATTTATGCAGGAAGGAAGAAAGACTTGAGGCTGGGTATGGTGTTTCTTGCATATAATACCAACACTTGAAAGGCAGAAACAGGTGTATCTCTGCGTGTTCTATGCCAGTCTGGTCTACAGAGTGAGTTCCAGGCCAGTCATGGATACCTAGTGAGAATCTGTCTTGAAACAAACAAACTAATTAAATTAAATAGCAGACTTACAAATTTAGTGGAAGGACCCATCAGGACCTGGTGACACATTATATATAGGAAGATGAAGAGGTAAGATTAAGTACAAATTCTCATGTTTTGCCTTTGAGTACTGTCAATGCCTTTCCAAGGGGATCCTAAGAGAGATCTGGGATATAGGGAGAAATATCTCAGCTGTAGGCTTGGTCATGCTGAATGAAATTGTCTTTGCAGACAGTTTGTCATAGAGATAGCTCATCCCCACATTCTTCGCAGCATGATTCCAAGCAGAGAAAAGATAGAATCCATGCTACTGTCAGTCATTAGATGAAGAGATAAAGAAAATGGGGTGCCAAACATATTAGAATAGTGGTCTTCCTTCAGAAAGGAAATGCTGCTGTTGATGGCAACTAGGATGAATTTGGGGGTGTAAAAATGAAATAAACCAATCACAGAATAACAAATACCACAGAATCTCACTTATAAATTGAATACAAAGGCATTCATCTCAGAGATAAACAGTATGAAAGAAGAATGGCTGGTTACCTGAGACTAGGGATAGGATAGGTGGAGACGGAGAAGATGCTCATCAAAGATATGAAATTCCATTTAGGCAGGAGAAATGCATTTCTCAAGATATAACATATATGAGAGTTTCTTTAAAAATTCCTATAATGGTAGATATATAACTTTCTCACAATAAAAATGATGATTATCAAAGGTAATGGACTTGAAACTTAGCCTAACTTAGTCATACTATAATATAAACACACATCAAAACAGCAGGTTGCATCCCATGAATATATACCATTGTTATTTGTCGATTAAAAACACTTTAAACCAAGAAAACAAAGGAAGACAGGTGGAAAAAGGGAGAGGAGAAGTCTGCATATTTGGGAGTGTTTATGATTACAGGGGATATTCAAGGATCTCTCTCCAGGTCTCCCAGGTGCACATGATCCTCTCCAAAGCCGAACTGAAGACATGACTCACCTTGCTGAGTATTAACTGTCCATCCCAGGCACAGCACTAAAAGAGAAAACCATTAAGAAAGATCCTCATCACATGACTTGTTTAGCAATGAGAATCTAGGAAGGACTACATATTGGTGGGTACATCCAGCCTCTCATGATTACCCAGTCATTCCTCTTCCATATTAATGTGATGTGGGATTCCCCTCTGTATGCTGTGAATATCATTGGTTAATAAAGAAACTATTTTGGGTCTGCACAAGGCAGAGTAGAGATAAGCAGAGAAAACTAAAACTGAATGCTGGGAGAAGGAAGGTGGAGTCAGGAGATGCCATGTAGCCGCCAGAGAGGAAAGGCATGAGCTGCTAGCTGGACCCTTGCTAATATGCCACGAACCTCATGGTGAAATATAAAATAATAGAGAAGGTTTAATTTAATATATAAGAGCTTGCTAGTAATATGATATAATGATTGACCAGGCAGTGATATAATTAATACAGTTTCTGTTGGTTATTTCAGGAGTTGGGGTGACTGAGAGACGAACAAGCAGCCTCCTATAACAAACTGGCACACCAACATGGTTGAATATGTACACATAAAACCTGGGAAAGCTTAGAAGGACTCATACACACACACACACACACACACAAACAGAGTTTCATGCAACTTCTTGTTCTGTTTGCTAAAAGCAAGGAGAGGCATCATTCCTCTAAGAGAGGTCTTCCTGATTCAGCAGTAGCAAAAAAAAAAAAACAAAAAAAAACAAAAAAAACCAAAAAAAACCCCAAAAAACAACAACAAAAAAACCACCTCAGTTTCAAAACAGCAGTTTTGGTTTCTGTGCTGAGAAGTTCCATCCAGACAGGTGAGTGTGAGCCATCCCCATGGTGGACTGTCCTAAAGCAAGGAGGTGGTAAATTTTAATAAATTAAAAAAAAATCAAAACAGCAGTTTCCTGGTTCACCAACCATCACAAATGGCTTTGACTCTTTCAGGAGGTCCAGCTATGAAGCATTTCAATGAGGTCTGTGAGCAGAGTGCTACAACTTGGTTAATGGTAACCTAGACCTGCCATGTGCCTAAAAATGGGACTCTGAGCATGGCTCTCAGAAGCAGCAAACAAGTCTCCACCACATTGGACTGGAGAGCAAGCACGCTGGGCCATATTGGCCCTAGCCATGCCCACTTAGCATTTTAAGAAGTAGTTCTGGTCAGAAAATAATTACAGATACACAATAAAGACAGATTTAGATGAAAAAGACCTCTAAATGGGTCACATTGTGCTTAAAAATGTATTTAGGTTTGGGAGAAAGAAGAAAAAGAATATATAGAGTAATGAAAAAGTAAATTTTTTAAAAAATGAAACAAAGTCTTTAAAGAGACAGAGTAAACTTGTCGAAAAAGTAATAGAATGCAAAAAATGAGCCATGTAAAGATGGAATACACATAGAAAGTCTGAACTATGTATATTATTGTTTTTTCTTTAAATTTTTTTGACTGTGAAGCAGCTACGTACAGAGAGATATTTCATTGTATGGACTGCTAAGCTAAGCCAACAAATGTATTTTAAAGGTATCCTGATATCAGATTTTGGGTCTAAAGATTTATTGCTTTGGAAAAGAGGTTCTTCTTTTGTTTTCATAGAACATAAGAACCTGTGGATCAATTCCAGCCTAATGCGGTTTAATAGACCAAGAGCCCCTGAAAGGTTGCCATAAACACCCCCAAAATATTTCACCCAACAAAAAGCAGCAATCAGTTTGGAGAAAACTATGCCCAAATTCCTGAATATTGTTTATAAATGTTGGTTTACATTTAAACAAAGATATTCTATAGATATGAATAACTTGCTTTGGTATGGATCTTGATCTATTGATAAAAATATAAGGTCAATTTTGTTATATGTATATTTCTGCTCTTGATTAAGGTATTATGTTAGTACTGTTCATTTTAAAATGTAATGTATAATTAAGAAACATAGGTTAATAGAGAATCATCTATAATAATCAGGTTTGTAGACATGTTAGCTAGGTTTTCTAGATGTACAGAGATATATTTCAGATAGACAGGTATTCTTCAACTACTTCAAAGAGCTACAGAATATGGCATTTAAAATGTTTTAATAACTTAGACTTTTCATGACAATGAGACACATCTATTCCTGGCAGCACCAATCTACTTCAAGAGGCTGATGGGCATCAAAGAAGCTCCTTATGGAGTTGTTATCCATTTGGGCAAGAAACTGCTCTTGCCTGGACTGATAGATGTTATGCTATATTAACCAGGCATGCAGGATCTACAGAGAAATGACTGTTGAACTTGCCTGAAGGTGAGATTGTCTTTCGGGGTTCCTGCTTCGTAAAAGAGTCCACAAGACGTTCTGCAGAACACAGAAGAAAGTGATTGACAAACTGCGAATATAGGCAGAACTGTCTTTGAAATTTCCTGCTTCATCGAAAAGTCTGCTGGACACTATGGGCCTGTAGGCTGAAGATTGGATGCCCCAATGATACAGGAGAACTTTGAGTGACTGTCCAGGCAGCAAGATGTTTCTAGAGTTTTGGAAGTTGCTTACAATGTACTCCCTGTTATCCTTCTGTTGTCTTTGATGGAGTTGAAGAATAGATAGTTATAATTATAGCTTTCCTTCATTTTTATAAAAGATAAAGTAGAAATAAATGTAATCTTGCTTGATATCCATTTTGTACATGTAATTTTATTATGTTAAAATTAAAACCTTACATTTTATTTACACTAAACAAGAGATGTGATGTGAAATTCCCTCTGTATGCTGTGAATACCATTGGTTAATAAAGAAACTATTTTGGGCCTGTACTGGGCAGAATAGAGGTAGGTAGGGGGAAACTAAACTTGATGTTAGGAGAAATAAGGCAGAGACAGGAGATGTCATGTAGCCACCAGAAGGGAAAGACATGAGCTGCTAGCTAGAACCTTGCTGGCAGGATACAAGCCTCATGGTAAAATATAAAATAATAGAAATGGGTTAATTTAATATATAAGAGCTTGCTAAGAATATGCTGTAGTGATTGACCAAGCAGTGATTTAATTAATATAGGTTTTTTGTGGTTATTTGAAGAGTCTGAGCAGCTGGAAAATGAACAAGCAGCATCCTACAACGTTAATGTCAGAGTATAGCCCTCCTTCTTCTTGTGAAAGAACTCTTAAGATATCCCCAAGGTGGAGAGAGAGACTTAACATCCCAGCTACTCAACTGAGTCACATAGTCAAGTATTACTTGGGCTACAAAGTGAGTTCGAAGTCAGCCTGAAAATCTTAGTGAGATCGTGTCTCAAAACCAAAAGTAAAATGGGGTTAGTTCAGAGCCTTGCCCAGTTGTTTACTTCCTCTGGCAAATGACTGGAGCAAATACAGAGACCCACAGTCAAACACTAGGTGGAGCTCAGAGAACCCCAAAGAGAAGAAGGATTGCAGGAGCCTGAAGGGTTGAGGACACCAAGAGAGCATGGTCCACAGAATCAACTAAACAGGGCTCATAGGGCCTCACAGAGACTGAAGCAGAAGTCTCAGAACCTGCATGGGTCTCCATCGGCCCTCTGTATATATGTTATGGTTGCTTATCTTGGGGTTTTTGTGGAACTCCTAACAGTAGGAGCTGATGTGCCTCTGATTCTTTTGCCTGCCCTTAGGACTCCTACGAGGTTGTCTTGTTAAGCCTTGATATGAGGGTTTGCTCCTAGTCTTATTGCATCTTGTCATGCCATATTTGGTTGATATCCCTGTGAGAACTGCTCTTTTCTGAAGGGACACTGGAGGAGCAGAGGATCTAGGGAAGACAGGGTAGGTGGGGGAAATGGGAGGGATGGAAAGAGGAAACTTCTGCCAGGATGTACTATATGAGAGGCCCATAAAATAAATGAAAAAATGAGAAAAAGTAAACTGAGGGCTGAAATGTATGGGAGAAAGGTTCATAAGGTCCCCACTCTTAGCTGAGGAGCTATTGAAAGTTGGTGGCTTCTGGGGAAGAGTCAAATTTCTCTAAGGGTATGACAGATAGCCCAGGGTCCAGCAGATAGCCCCAGGCCCTTGAGTATATGAGCAGCACAAATGATATTCACTGGATTATTGCTTGTAAAAAGGAGACACAAAGTAGAGGGAGAGAGGGAATTGGTGTGGATTACAGGCAAGAAAGGGGATGAATATGATCAAACCATGTTGAATGCACCTATGAAATTCTCAAAAAGATATTTTAAATATATGTAACAGCAAAAATATATTCCTCATTATGCCCATGGATCAATGCATCCCACACTCAGATTATGCCCATGGATTAATGCATCCTGCACCCCTCATCTGAGAAGCTTTTATGTGCAATTGATGTAGATTAACACAGAGATACATAACTGACCAAGGGGTAGAGACCAAGTTTGCAGAATGCTGAACCTTAAAGGGAACATACACACCATACATCTCCTCCTCCCAAGACTCAGAAGTCGTTTAGGAAGAGGTGGTGGAAAAAGCATTAAAGCCTGAAGCGGTAGATGACTTCAGGGACTACAGGGTGTCCTGAACACAGAGGGCAGCTGCACATATTAACTCATAGCATGCACAAGACCTGTGTAAAACCAAGCAAGACAAAATCCCAGAACTTAAGGGAAATTTAGGCAAATTCTCCCTGTTTTAACCTTGAAGCTAATGGGAATCGCTGGCTGCTGGAAGAGGGAGAGTCAGTTTTCTTTAAGAGTGTAGCCCCTGGAATCAGGCATAGTGGAACACACCGTTAGCATTTGGGAGCCAGAGGCAGGTGAATCTCTGTAAATTCCTGATCCAGGCTGGTCTCCATAGTGAGTTCTAGAACAGTCAGAGTTACACAGTAAGACAGTGTCTCTAAAAAATCAAAATAAAATGAAGCAGTGCAGTCCCTTTTAAGTCAACCATGCTCCAGTGGTAGACTATGAATTCAAGAATATTTGGGTAGCACAAATTGGTAGTAAAGGGTTTTAAAAAAAGAGGGACAAAATTTAAGTGGGTAGGGAAGAGGGGTCAATCATGGGAGAGTTCAGTATGAGTCAAGTAAGGAACTCTCAAAGAACGAATAAAAATTTCTTAAGAATAAAAGAATTTCTGAACAAGGGTACTCAATAGCATGTAACACCTGTGATTTTAAAAAATAAAAAGAGTATTTGGATTTATGAGATACGATTCTGTGATATTGTGCTTACTTATGTATTAGGCTCTGAGCTCAACCTCCAACACTGGGGCAAAAAGTGTCCTCAGGTCATCTTCCCTTCCAAACAGGCTTTCTCACTCCTTTTAAAGCTGAACTGGGCCACATGCCCCATCTCTGTTTCTAGCAATAAGTCTGCGGTGAAAACCCCAAGTAAGGGTCAGGGTGGAGAGAGTCTGCTCCCAGGTAGCTCCAGAATCTGCTAGGCTGGTTTCAGGCCTGAGTGGGAAATAGACTTCCTTTCCCAAATCTCCTACCCCATCCCTCCATTTGTCCCAGGACTCACCGAGGGTCACCACAGTTTCAGAATGAAGTGACATGACTCAAGCTTCAGCCGTCTGACCGGGTCTGGAGCTGAAGCCCTGCAGTGGACACAAGAGGCAGGATGTGGGGGCTGGGGCTCATTACAAGGTTTCTCTATTAGTTTCCTCATACGAAGAGGAAGAGGTTTCTCCTCTGAGGGCTCTACTCTTCCTTCAGTCCCTGACTCTTTGAGAAGGGGTCAGATTCTAAAAAATACAGCAGGCCTCTGAGTTCAGGTGCAACAAAACTCATTTCTCAACATGTTCGTCTTGCTATAAATATGTGAGACACAGAAGTATAAGATTTACACGTCAGTCCTTATTGTAGAAATGAATGACCATTGATCTTTCGGATAGGCATTTCAACACCAGAAGCTCACATTTCCTAATGTTTAAAATGAAAACCATAAAGCCTTCCCTGAATATTTGATGTTATGGTCTTTTTAAGAGCTTAAACAGGTATTTGACACATTAAATGTGCCCTGCTACAGATAATGGCATTTATTATTAAATAATATTGGTGTGTGTGTGTGTGTGTGTGTGTGTGTGTGTGTGTGTGTTTTACAGAGTGTGTAGCAGCCAGAGGACAACTTGGCAAAATTGTTTCTTTCATTCTACTATATAGGTATTGGGGATGGAACTTGATTTTTCAGGTTCGGGGGCATGTATTTTTACCCACTGACCTATCTCACTGACTCAGATGATATATTTAAAATATATTTTTTATTTTATGTGCATTGGTGTCTCACCTGTCTATGTGTCTGTGAGAGGGTGCTGCTTCTTCTGGAATTGGAGTTGCAAACAGTTGTGAGTTATCAGGTGGATGTTGGGAATTGAACCTGGGCCCTCTGGAAGAGCAGCTAATGCTCTTAAACATTGAACCATCCCTCTAGCCTCAGATGATAATTTTAAAACATAACAAATGTTGCCAGGAGTAGAGAAATTGTATTTTTTCATGCTCTTAACAGGAACCCAGGGCCCCAACTGTTATGAGAAAAGCTGCCTCTGAGCGAATAAGTCAGAATCGTTTTTAGGAACCTGAGGCTCTCCTTCCATGCCACTGGTGGAACAAAATGTGTAAATCAGAGGGAAGAAAGCTCTTCCTCTGTGTAAATAGCATGAAGATTTCACAAAATAAGAAATTAAGAGGATGAGGATCCTCCAAGTAAGAGGATGAAAGAAGTATGGAAGTGAGATGCCAGCACTCATGTACTCATTGCAACACTGCTCACAAGAGCTATGATGGGGAAACAGCTACTACAGAGCTACAGTATGGAAAACAACCTGATATTGACATAAAATCAGACAGGAGGACCAGTGGAACAGAATTGAAATCCCAGATATCAATCCACACACCTACAAGCACTTGATTTTTGACACAGAAGCAAAAAAATTTCAAATGGAAAAAAGAAAGCATATTTAACAAATGATACTGGCGTAACTGAATATCAACATGATGTACAAGAATAAAAATAGACCCATGTCTATCACCATTTAGAAAATTCACATCCATATTGACCAAAAACCTCAACATAAAGTCAGGCATACTCAATCTCATAGAAGAGAAAGTAGGAAGTACACTTGTACACATTGACACAGGAGACTGCTTCCTAAAGTAGCACAGACACTGAGAGAAACAATGAATAAATGGGACTGCCTGAAACTGAAAAGCTTTTGTAAGGCAAAGGGCATGGTGAACAAGACAAAACGGCAGCCTACAGAATGGAAAAATATCTTTATCAACCCCATATCAGACAGAGGTCTGATCTCCAAAATATACAAAGAACTCAAGAAATTGGTCATCAAAAGAACAAATAATACGATAAAAAATGAAGTACTTACCTAAACAGAGAACACTCTTTGCAATTTTAAAGAGGGAAAAGACAAAGAATGTATCCTTGAAAAATCACTAAAAGTAGATGTCTCAGTCAGTGTTCTGTTGTAAAGAGACACCATTTATAAGGCAAGTCTTGTAAAGGAAAACATTAAGTTGGAACTTGCTTATAATTTTAGAGATTTTAGTCCATTCTTATTATGGTAAGGATGGTGGCATGCAGGCAGGCATGGTGCTAGAGTGCTAACAGAGAATTTACATCCAGATTAGCAGGCATCAGGAAGAGACATTAGACCTGGCTCGGGTCCATGAAACCTCAAAGGCCTAACCTCCAGTGACACACCTACTACAGTAAGGCCACATTTCCTAATCCCTGTCAATTTAAACCATTCCGCAATGATCAAGTGTTCATATCTATGAGGATATGGGAGTCGTTCTTATTCAAACCACCACAGTGGCTATAAATGTTCTTCCTTCAAAAAGCACAAAATTATGAAATGACATTATTAATATTTGGTTACAGTTGGCTATTCCACGGTGCATGACCATCACTTAGGCTATGATATATACATATAATTTTCATGTGCCAAATTACTTAACTAATTATTTAAAAACATTTTCAGGATCCAACTTCTTTTTTTCTCCTCCCCACCTTTCCCTCCCCACCTCCCCCTCCCTCTCTAGTCTTAAGAGCAGTCAGGGTTCCCTGGTCCTTGGGAAGTCCAAGGTCCTTCCCCATCCATACAGGTCTTTAAAGGTGGACATCCAAACAAACTAGGCTCCCACAAAGTCAAACCATGCAGTAGAATTAAATCCCAATGCCATTGTCCTTGGCTTCTCAGTCAGCTTTCATTGCCAGCCACGTTCAGAGTGTCCATTTTGATCACATGCTCCATCTCTCCCAGTCCAGCTGGCCTTGGTGAGCTCCCATTAGATTAGTCCCACTGTCTCAGTGGGTGGACACAAACCTTGTGATCCTGACTTCCTTGCTCACGTTCTCCCTCCTTCTGCTCCTCATTTGGACCTAGGGAGCTAAGTCCAGTGCTCCAAAGTGGGACTCTGTCTCTATCTCCATCCATCGCCAGATGAAGGTTCTATGCTGATATGCAAGATATTCATCAGTATGGTTATGGAACGAGGCCAGCTCAGGCACCCTCTCCTCTGCTGCCCAGGGAACAAACTGGGGATCTCTACTTGGACCTGGGACCCCCTCTAGAATCAAGTCTTTTACAAACCCTAAAATGGCTCCCTTAGTAGAGATATTTACTTCCCTGCTCCCATATCCATCCTTTCTTCATCTCACCCATCCCATTCCCCCCGAGCCTTCCCCATTCCTCCCCTTCTCCCTTCTCTCTACCCAACTCCCCTTACATCCACTCCCCAATCCCCCACCCCCCATGCACCCAAGTTTGCCTGACAATCTGGTCTACTTCCAATATCAAGGCAGATAAGTATATGATTTTCTTCAGGTTCACTTTCTTATTTAGATTCTCTAGGATCATGAATTATAGGCTCAAAGACCTTTAATTATGGCTAGAATCCACTTGTGAGTGAGTACAAACCATAGTCCTCTTTTTGGGACTGGGTTACCTCACTCAGTAAAGCATTTTCTATTTCCATCCATTTGCATACAAAATTCAAGATGTCATTTTTTTTTATCGCCGAATAAAACCCTAATGTGTATATGTCCACACCTTTTTAAACCATTCTTCTATTGAGACGCACCTAGGTTGTTTCCAGGTTCTGGCTATTACAAATAGTGCTGCTATGAACATAGTGAAACAAATGCTTTTGTAGTATGATAGGGCATCTCTTGGGTATATTCTCAAGGGTGGAATTGCTGGATTCTGAGGGAGGTTGACTCCCAGTTTCCTGAGAAACCAACACACTGGTTTCCACAGTGGCTGCACAAGTTTGCATTCCCACCAACAATGAATGAGTGTTCCCCTCACTTTATATCCTCTGCAGCATAGATGATCATTGGTGTTTTTGAGTTTAGCTATTCTGACAGGTGTAAGATGGTATCTCAATATTGCTTTCATTTGCATTTCCCTGATCGCTAAGGAGATTGAGCATGACCTTAAGTGTCTTTTGGCCATTCGAAGTTCTTCTGTTGAGAATTCTCTGTTCAGTTCAGTACCCCATTTTTTAATTGGGTTAATTAGAGTTTTAGTGTCTAGTTTCTTGAGTTCTTTGTATATTTTGGAGATCAGACCTTTGTCTGATGAGGGGTTGGTGAAGATCTTCTCCCAATCAGTAGGTAGCCTTTTGGTCTTACTGACAGTATCCTTTGCTTTACAGAAGCTTCTTAGTTTCAGGAGGTCCCATTTATTCATTGTTTCTCCTATTGTCTGTGCTACTGGGGTTCTACCTTGGAAGTGGTCTTCTGTGCCCATGTCTTGTAGACTACTTCCCACTTTCTCTTCTATCAGGTTCAATGTGGTCAGATTAATATTGAGGTCTTTAATCCATTTGGACTTAAGTTTTGTGTATGGTGATAGATATGGATCTACTTACATTCTTCTACAGGTTGACATCCAGTTATGCCAGCACCATTTGTTAAAGATGCTTTCCTTCTTCCATTATATGCATTCACTCCCTTGGCGAAAATCAGGTGTTCATAGGTTTGTGGGTTAATATCCGGGTCTTCTATTCGATTCCATAGGTCGACTTCTCTGTTCTTATGCCAATACCAAGCTGTTTTCAATACTGCATCTCTGTAATAGAGTTTGAAGTCAGGGATGGTAATGCCTTCAGAAGTTCCTTTACTGTATAAGATTGTTTTGGCTATCCTGGGTTTTTTGTTTTGCCAGATAAACTTGACTATTGTTCTCTCAACATCTGTGAAGAAGTTTGATGGGATTTTGATGGGGATTGCATTGAATCTATAGATTGCTTTGGTAGAATTGCCATTATTACTATGTTGATCCTCCCAATACAAGAGCAAGGGAGATCTTTCCATTTTCTGGTATCCTCCTCAATTTCTTTCTTCAAAGACTTAAAGTTCTTGTCAAATAGGTCTTTCACTTTCTTGGTTAGAGTTACCCCAAGATATTTTAAACTATTTGTGGCTATCATGAAAGGTGATATTTCTCTGATTTTCCTCTCTACTTCTTTATCCTTTGTGTATAGGAGGGCAACTGATTTTTTGGAGTTGATCTTGTATCCTGCCACATTACTAAAGTTGTCTATCAGCTGTAAGAGTTCTTTGGTAGAGTTTTTGGGGTCGCTTATGTACACTATCATATCATCTGCAAATTACAATAGTTTA